GTGGAGGGGGGTGGGGGATTGGGGTGCAGAAAAATGAAAAAAACAGAAATTTAAAATTACAAAAAAAATTATTTTTTTTTGCGGGAGGGATGGGGATGGGGTAGGAGGGTGGGTAGTGACAAAAAAAATTGAAATTTGAAAAAGAAAAACCTTTTTGGAGAGAGGGGGTGAGGTGGCGTTGAGTGGGTGAATGTGGGGGTTATGGGGGTGGGGAAGATTGAGAAAGAGTTTTAGAAAACGTTTTCTCTTCTCTTAATAAAGAAAATATTTTTGATAAGGAAAATATTTTTCAAAACATTTAAGCCAACCAAACATGGGAAAATTAGAAAATATTTTCCGAAAAATGTTTTCCTTCATACCAAACACACCCTTCAACTTATTTTCTTACTAGTTAGGAGTTGCCCGTGCTATGCACGGGCCCGATAGTTAGGTTCTGGTAATTAAAATCCAATTGGAAACATTGGTCATAAAGTTTTATATGAAAGGTTCAAACTTTTCAATGAGCAAAATAAGATATAAGAACATTTTATATTTCTGCACTAATTCAGTTCAACAAAATGAATCTTCCCAACATAGTTTAGATCTTGAAGTACAAAGTCATGAACTATGGGAGGTTGCTAGACACCTCAAATGTATAAAAAATATTTGCATCTCCAGTAAGATCAAGAACACACTCTCTAACTTATATTCATTATTTCCTATTGGTACAAGCAATAGTAAGAAAGAATAAAGCATATTTGCACAAAGAATATTCTCATCTTTCAGAATTTGTAGAAATAAAGAATATTCTCAACGTAAAAAATTCTCTTCAGACTCCTCTTCAGCATATTTGCACAAAGAATAAAGCATATGTTAAATGAGTTTTTGCCACCTCAGAATGAATTTCATATTCAATATTGTAACAACATTCTGCTACCTCTACTAAATTATAGTACCTGCTTTTTCATGATTCCGCCATCAATCTACTGCAATCTCCCTCCTACATTTACAAATGAGACCAGTTATGTTCTTTGAAACTCGCATAACCTAGAGTTAACCTTCACCTAGATATACGAAGAAAATACAATACAATATTATGAGTTATATTATAACAACCATATTAAGTGTCAAGCAAAAATAGAAGCGAAAAGAACTTAAGAATTCTAAAGACAACACAAGAGCTGGATAATCATTGAAATTGGAAAGTTATACATATGAAGCAAATTACCAGATTTACATATTTTGTGTCCTTGGCTTTCCAACATGGACCACCAAAAATAGTTTGCTAAACCAAAGAATCCATTCATTTGAGGGCACCCTTGAAGCATGTCCAAGTACCAGGATGCTGACATGTGTGTACAATATTGAATTACATTTGATCATAGCTATATATCAGTTGATGTTACAGGATCAGAATCCGCTCCAGTAAATTTTCCTTAAGTAGCATTCACTGGTTGATTTAGATTGTGACAACTTATCAAAGAACATCTAAATACTGTAATTTATTCATCCAAAAATCCAGCATAACTTCGTCAAATTCTTCTTATTTTTCACTATCTCTCTCTTCTGAACAACTAAGTATTTCATATTGTATATTTCTTCTTCCTTTGAGGTCTCTGTTTCCCTCATATTGTTTGTGTTTCTTTGTTAGAGTTTTCACATCAACTTACATTCTAATATCCCTTTGTGCAAAAAAATGATTCCTTGAAGGTATCCAATGTTTGGAGTTCTGGAAATAATTAAATTACAGCCTTTAAATATTATTTCAATGAGTTGACACAATCTGAAGCAACTATTGAACATTAATTAAGGAAAAGTTACTGGAGGGAATCCCAACCCGATGTTACAACAATTTTAAGGTCACAAACCTTTCAAGGCAGACAACTTCATAAAACCTACTTGACGTTTACACCATTTTTTAGATAAACTCACAGAATTTCAATTGAATGAAATCTCTTATTATTTTTTATATTTAAGTAAGTTTAGTAAGTTCCTAAATATCAATCAAAGGGGGCATCAGAAAAGAAAATTTTATCCAAAATTCATGTATCTTTAATCAATAAGAATTTTCATACTATTCTAGAATTGGACAGAATGATGAAACTGGCCATCTGTAAATAAAGTTCAATTTCTTACTCACCTCAATTATCG